GTCACGGCAACTCCCTGGACGCAGATAAGAGGAGCAGGGGAGGCGGCTGTGCCCAAGGTCGTGCAGACAGCAGGCCCCGCACCCACTCTGCCATGGCCTGGGCCCTGCCACGCTCCATTTGGCACAGGTTTGGGTGCCTGTCTGTGTCTCTTTCAAATTGCCTTTTTGGGGAGGGCTATATGAGGAAGAGCTCCGAGGGGATTGGAACCCAGCTGCCCCCGTCTCTCTGTTCCTTCTTCCCCCGAATGGTGGCAGGCGTGTTCTCTGGGCCAAGCGCCACACTGGGCACTGGCTGGGGTGGGGGTACCAGCTCCCTCGGGACTGAGCTGGGGAAGGGTCCCCAGTGCTTCCCTGGGGGCCCCAGTGCAGAGAGAACCCGGCTCCCAGGTCCCGTCCCTCAGCCCTTGCCAAGGGGAGGACCCTGGATTACTCAGACCGAGCCAGACACGTGATTCGAACCTGCCTCCAGCCAGCCTCAGCAATAAGGAAGTTACTCCCTAACCAAGGAGGCCGGGGCCTTCTTTGGTTTTAGGCACAGTTGGATTTAGGGGGCTCGTCTGTGCCATTGTGGCCGACCTGTCTTCCCCGAGTGGGCCTCCCCGCCTCGAGGCTCAGCAGCCCCAGGTGGGGGCAGCTCTTCTTCCCTGTCATGGCAGCAGAAGACCTGGGACTGACTTTCTCAGTCCATCTTGGTAACGTGCCACCACCAATGACTGTGACGGGCGGTGCTGACAGGCCTGGGGCACATGCTCGCCCCGGGGAACCTGGGCCACTCGGGCACCCTCACCGGAGGGAGGGGTGTGGTTTCTCTGGAGGCAGGAGTGGTCCGGGCCCACCCAATGCAGACCTGCCGACGCTGGTCTCCAGGGCCGGGCCGCTTCCGTGGGGGCTGGGCACAGGCCAGAGCCGCAGTAAACATGGCAGTTCCGTGGGAAGACGGTACGTGTTCCGGAATAAGTAGGTAAAGGGGTCAGTGTGTCGGAGGCGGGCAGGGCTAGCCAGGGGGGTCTTGCTGAGCCCTGGAAGTGAGGGAAGGAGCCAGGGGCAGCTGGGGACAAAGTGAGGCAGGGGAGGGAACAGCAGGTGCGAGGCTCACAGCTGGGGCGGCAGGGGGTGTACCAGGAGGCCTGGGGCTTGAACTCGTGGGTCAGCGTGGCTACAGCCAGGACCACAGCCATCGCCTGTGGGGCTGAGGGACAGACGGAGCCAGCCCACCCCAAGCAGCACCTCTGCCCCTGCCAGGTCAGGCGGCTTCCCGGGGTGAGTCCCCCAGTCTGGCCCTGGCCCCTGTGCCCGCGGTGGGTCCTGCTGAGGAGTGGGCCAGAGCTGTGTCAGGAGGGGCTTCCTTGAGGTGGCAGCATATGAGTGAGGTCCTGGGCCAGGAAGCTGGTGCCACCCTTTTTGGAGCCCAGTCTCCTCTAGAACCCTCAGGTTGGTTTCTTGCCCACTAGGGCGCGAGTCCCCAAGGGCAGCACCCACCCCTGCCTTGTCACCCCCATCCCCGATGCCCAGCTCGGGGCCGACATGCGGTAGGTGCTGGGAGAGGAGGGGGTGAGGGCAGGCATGGCAACTCCTGGCCCCTTCATCCTCCCCCTCTTCCCTCACTGTGCCCACCCCGGAATCAGCACCTGCGGGGCTCTAGAAGCCTGCGTTCAGCCCGGGCAGCCTGTACCTCGCAAGTAGGTGAGTTAGGAAGTGAGCAACAGGTGCCGGGGACCCACCGTTTTTTCCCTTTTGAGCACCTCTTCTATACCAGATCTTGTCTATGACGTGTGAATCCTGTTTTGCTGATGTGCGACCTGTTCTGAAGGGAAATTGAGACGCAAGGAGGTGAAGTGGCCTCTTCCCGGCTACACAGCAGGCAGCTACCCTGCCCCTCGGCATTCCGCATTCTGGCATTCCGCATTCTGCCAAAACCTGCGGTGCTCAGTTGTAGACAGCCCCATGGATGGGGTGCACGCAGCAGGCAGCGTGGGGGTGGCCAGCACGCCAGGCCGGGGCCGCCTGCACGCAGTGTCAGGGCAGGTAGACCCCGACACGAGTGGGGAACACAGGCTCTGTGATTTTTTTTGTCCCTCTGATGTGGGCTCTGTGCGTGTGGCGGCCCTGCCTGCCCCAGGTGTGCGTGGGTACACAGGCCGGTCTCGGAGGCTGTTCACAGGGGCCCAAGGGCCTGCTCAAGGTTTCGTTTTGTTTTGGGGCTTTTTGGTACAAAATACGTATACCATAAAACTTGCCATTTTTACCATGTTTAAGTACACAATTCAGCACCATTGTTCAGTACCGCAAACGAAAGCTCTGCCCCCATGGAGCAATGACCCCCCGCCCCCAGTAACCTCTGATGTACCTTCTGTCTCTGGATGTGCCTCGTCTGAATATTGCGCGTAAGTGGAATCATTCAGTATTTATCCTGTCTGGCTCATTTCACCTCGAATGATGTTGTTTTTTTTTTTGTTTGTTTTTATTTTTTTTTTTTGACTGCCCTATGCAATGGTATCGAATGATGTTTTTAAGGTTCGCCACATTGTAGCTTGTATCCAGACGTATGGCTGAATAATGTCCATTGTCTGGCTAGACCACATTCGGTCTGCCCATTTATTTGTCAGGGTTTTTCAAAATGTAAATGATGTAAATCAGTGACCAATATTTTACAATCTAGATATTTACATAATGTTACAGATTTCCAGTTTCTTCTAAAACACTTGGAATACACGGCCTCGTGGGTCTCATCTGCCCAACCACTTCCCTTGCTAGGCTGGGTGCCACCTGAGTACAGGGAGGGGGGCTGCCACTGGGGCAAGTGCCTGTTGCCTCCTGGCCAGGTACACAGCCCTGAGCAAAGGTGCTGGCGGCAGGAGAGCATGGCCCCTGTGCCAGGCTGCCGACCTGGGCGGGGCCCCAGAGCACCCTGTGTGTCCCAAGCAGCGCCAGAGTCTCGAGTGTGGTGACCCAGGAGGGCGAGCCCATCCTCCCAGGGGAAACCTGGCCAGGGAGGCAGATGCTGAGATGCTACCTCTGGCCCCATGCAGGGCGTGGCACTGTAGCCGGCCTTGGCCTGATGCCCGTGGTGAGCGCAGTGACCGTTGGCTCACTGTGAGCCAAGCACGGGGCCTGCTGAGGGGTGGCCCCTCCTTCCTGAGGAGGAACCCAAGGCCCTCCGAGGTCTAGCAGGTGGTCTGAGAGGATGGTGTGTGGAGGTCAGGAGACTGAGCACACGGGGCAGGGTCCCAGGAAGGTTGTGGAACAGGGGAGCTCCGATGAGGCCGTTAGGCCCCAATGTAAAGGGGTGGGGTGGAGGGAGGGGGCAGTGCAGGAAGGCTGGGGGGTTCCCTACATTAGAGACTGGGTGGTGCCCCCACTCCACAATTCACTTTTTGGGTTATCCACGAAGTTCAGTTATGCACATCTGCCCCCCCATGAGGGCGGGCACTTTGGTTGCAGTCATTACTTTGTTTCCTGGCCTGGGACAGGTCCAGCACGCAGTAGGTGCTCAGTAAAGATGCTGGGTGACTTGTGCATTCCCCAACATCCAGGCTGGTCGCCAGAGATACTGCCAGGAGAAAACCAGACCTGCGTGTGCAGGAGGAAGAGGGGTGGGTAGGGTAGGCCGAGGTCCCGCAGCTACTCTGGGATGTGGGCTAGTAGGGGGAGCTGTGGGCGGCTTCTGAGCAGAACCTGGAGCTTCCCTGCAGGAGGATGGAGGGAGCGGTGGAGCCCCACTGCCAGGAGGAGGAGGAGAACGCGATGCCAGGCCCAGGGGACCTTCGGCAGCCGAGGGGGAGGGGTGCCACTGCGCCGGGCCTTTCCCATCCCCCTCTGCCCAGCCTGGCTGCTTGATGGGCAGCCTGGTCCCGCCCCCGGGCAGCCGGGAGCCCGGCGATTGGTTGGGGCTCTAGAGCCGCTCGGTCGCCATGGGGACGCTCAGGAGGTGCGCGTGCCCAGTGCCCAGCCCTGGGGACTAAATCTTCATAATCTGCCGGCTGGGAGGGTGGGGGTGGGGTCCGCACGACCCTGGCCTGGGGGAAGGGGCGGCCTGGGATGTGGCCAGGGCTCACTGCGGCCATCCCTCCCCCACCCGCGCTGGGTGCAGGTGCAGAGTCGCCAGGGCGCCCCCGGGAACCACGCGGGTACTCACCTGAGAGTGACCCCGGGAGTTCCAGGGTGGCTGTGGCCTCTGCTGTCTCAGCGGATCAAGCAGGCAGCTGGGGCTGGGTGGGAAGAGAGGCCTGGAGTTCAGCTGAAAATGTCCAGTCTCCCTAGTTAAAGTTTGTTCTCTCAGGTTCTGCAGGCGGGCAGTGCCGCGCTCTGCACAGCAGGGGGCGCCCTCGGCAGCGCTTTGTTGGGCTGCCCACCGCAGGGAAGCGGCGACGGCCGCGAGGTGCCCGGTGCGGAGCCCAGACCCTAGCCAGGGCGCAGCGTGTTTGTGCACAGGCTGCCGAGGCGAGGCTGTGCCTGCCTGTAGAAGGGAGTGGGTGACTGGAGGTTCACAATGGAGCCACTCCTCCCTCCTCAAGCAAAGGAAGGAGAAATTCAGGGGCCCACCGTGGGGAGGGCCCGCCAGGGTGTGAAGGGCAAAGCAGTGCTGAGCAGGGGCAACAGAGTGGGCGGGAAGGTGCTGTCCAGGCAGCTGGGAAGAAGGGAGAGTCTGGCCAAGCCCTAGGCAGCCTCTGGGGTGTCCAGGAACCTCTGGTTAGCCACTCACTTGCAGACCCTTGAAGCTGGGCTCCCGCCAGCCTGGCTGTGTTGGAGGGTCTGCTGCGCAGGAGGAATGGCCGTGGCTGCTCAGCGCCTGCTGGCCCCGCTACGCTGGCAGAACTGTGTGGCTGCCTTAGCCGAGGCTTCAGGCTAGAGTGAGGCTAGACTCTCAGAGCCATGCCCCCCCCAAAGACACAGGGCAGGTACTCTGAGGTAGCTTCTCTATGATGCCCTGCAGGGGGAGGGATTGTCTTGGGGGTGGCATGTGCTGGGATGGGGCCTCACACCCAGGCCTCTTGTTCCAGATGACTCCTCCTCCGAGAGCGGCAGTGGCAATGGCTCCTCCACCCTGAACCCGTCCACCTCGAGCAGCACGCAGGGCGACCCTGCCTTCCCCGAGATGAATGGCAACGGCGCTGTGGCCCCCATGGACTTCACTGCCACCGCCGAGGATCAGCCCATCAACTTGTGTGACAAGCTCCCACCTGCCACGGCACTCGGCACCCCCTCCTACCCCTCGGATGGCTGCAGCACTGACGGGCTGCGGAGCCGTGTCAAGTATGGGGTGAAGAGCACCCCTGAGGTGCGTGGGGCCACGCTGGGAGTCTGTATCTGTAGACAGCAGGGTTGTTATGAAGCTAAGATACAACTGTATACCTCTGGAGCATAGCTGGGACCAGCCTGTGTGTGACACCAAGTCATGGCAGTGGCAGTGGCAGTGGCTGCTACACCGTTTTCCTGTAGAGGCTCTGGAAGGGGAGATGGCTTGGAGTGTGCCCTCAAGCAAGGCCCCCACTTCTGAGCTTGGTTCCCCATCTGTGAAGTGGGGTTGATGGCCCCTTCCTCAGTGAAGGTGGTAGGTGATGTGTGTCCCTGTGGCCTGTTCCCTCCCCTGGAATAGTCTGTGTGAATAACAGCAGCAAGTGGCTACATTTAGCACAGACAGGCACAGGCCTCGCATTTCCTGGCCACTTGCACCCCTGTCCCATTTTGCAGATGGTGCAGAAAAAGGGCGAGGGCCCAGGGAGGTGGGGGTGGAACTCCCCTCTTGCCCAGGCTGATGTGGGTGCTTCCACCAGCTGCCTTTGGGCCACTAAGATTTCCTGCAGTAGCATATTTCTCCAGCCTGGGCTCGGGGCCAGAGGTGCCTTCTGGGAGCCTAACCTCCCCGGTCCCCAGCTGTGTACCTTTGGATAGGCCCTTTTCCCTCCCTGGGCCTGTTTACTCTCTGCAGAGAGGGAAGGGTAGGTGCCAGTGCTTGCCTGAGACGGGGTGTCTCATGAGAAAGTTCTGTACCGAGGGACTGGTGTTGAGCTGTGGCCGCGTGTCTGGCCCAGGCTGTGGGAGCCTGGCTGGCCAATCTTGACTAGGTCCTGGGGCAGACAAAGCCGCCGTTCCATGGAGGGAGGGAGCTTTGCTCAGCAGGGCACTCCAGCCTCTGCCACCATGGCCACGGAGTGCATGGGACCAAGGAAGTGAGACAGGAGCAGGAGTGCCACCAGCAGCTCCCGTCATAGTTTTCTCTGACTCTGTCTGCCCTGGCTGAGGATTTGGCGAAGGAGTAGGTTGGGAATGTGACTTGCCCAGGGCCACATAGCCAGCTGGTAGGCAGCTTGGGGGCCTGAGCATCCTACCCCCTATGGATGAAGAGGCAGGTGCCATGCCAGAGCCCCTGGGAGAGCTGACCCTGTGACCCCCATGGGCATGGTTCCGGGGAAAGAGGCCTGGTGGGAGCCGCGCCGTGGGACCAGGCACAGGCAGCGTGCATGGTCATCGACTTGTTCCTCAGTGAGTGGTGCAGTGCCCCCAGCCTGTGCCACGGCAGGCTGCCACGTCACAAGGTCTGACTGTGCAGCTCTTTGTTCTCTGGGCCCAACTTACCTGCTAGATGCCAACCTCCTTTAAGGGCATGGACAACATCCCCAGGCCAATGGCAGTCAGGATCCAAATGACTGAAGTCAGGACACAACAAAGGTGCAAACTTTCTAAAAGGCAAATGGTCCTCAGAGAGCCATTCCAGAGCAGCACCCTGAGGGCAGGGGCAGGGGACAGGTGGTGTAGAAGCTGAGCCATGAAGGGTGACAAGGTGGAGAAAGCAGAGAGGAAAGTGGGAGGCTGTGTCCGAAGGAGAGATGGGCGAGGGGGGCTTGTCCAGGGAGGAGTTCATGGGTGGGGGTTGGAGCCCTTCTCTGCTGTAGGCTTGGAGCCCTTCTCTGCTGTAGGACAGGTGACCGCCTGGGCAGGCTGAGTCTGGTCCCCTTTGCCCCTTTCTACTCACACATCCTCATTGAGGCCCCCGGGATCATCCTTGGGGGACAGACAGGAGAAGCCTAGCCTGGGAGCAGCGGGGACACACTCTGCCTAATGGATCTGTCACCTTGGCTGACTCCCTCTCTCAGCCCATCTGTCCCTCGTCCCCAACAGACAGCGCACTCGCTGCTTTGGTGACAGCTCAGTTGTCAGCCCTAGGGTTGCAGTCCTTTGGGGACCAAGGAAGAAAACCCTGACGCTCAGCAGCTTGGCACAGTGAGCGGCGGTGGGAGTCCTCGTGTCTGCCTTTCTCGAACCGTGTGGCAGGTCGTGGTGTGGGCACCACTGCCGAGCAAACAGCTGACATGTGCTGCTGCTGCGGTCAGGCCCCCTACAGCAGCCCAGGAGCGAGGTGGCAGCATTGCCGTCCCCATTGCACAGATGAAGGGAGCAGGAGGCGGGGTAACCCGCTCGGGGCCTTGCAGCTGTGGCTCACGTGGCAGCTGGGTAGGCTGGCCACCTTGGCGCCCAAGCTTACCACCCGTAGGCGACCAAGCAAGGCCACAGACAGCTGCCTAGTCCAACCTCTGCCTCCTGCCCTCTCCTCAGTCGCCCCCGTACAGCTCTGGGAGCTATGATTCCATCAAGACTGAGGTCAGTGGCTGCCCCGAGGACTTGACGGTGGGCCGGGCTCCCACGGCAGATGACGACGATGATGACCATGATGACCATGAGGACAACGACAAGATGAATGACTCTGAGGGCATGGACCCTGAGCGTCTCAAGGCCTTCAACGTGAGCACAGGCCAGAGGCCGGTGGGGCAGGCGGGGCGGGGCAGGCCAGGGCTGGCCCTCCTACAGCTGTGTCTCCACAGATGTTCGTGCGTCTCTTTGTGGATGAGAACCTGGACCGCATGGTGCCCATCTCCAAGCAGCCCAAGGAGAAGATCCAGGCCATCATCGAATCCTGTAGCCGGCAGTTCCCCGAGTTCCAGGAGCGGGCCCGCAAGCGCATCCGCACGTACCTCAAGTCCTGCCGTCGCATGAAGAAGAACGGCATGGAGATGGTGAGCCCTCCTGCCCAGCCCATCCTCTCCCTGCGCCACCGCCAACCTCCAGCCGCCCCCCTGGGATTCCTGGGCGAGCCTTAGCCACACAGTCTCCCATCATCCTCCCAGTAGCCCTGGAAGCAGGTTCTATAATCCTGTTTTGAGAATGAGGGAACTGAGGCCCAGAATGGCCACCCGGCTCTATAAGTGAAGGCACTGGAGCCCCAACCCCAGCTCTGCATGACCCACCTCTGGGGCAGGGTCTCTGCACAAGCCCAGGGTGCCACGAGCCCCACACTAGCTGCATCCCTGTTCTGCCTGCAGACCAGACCCACGCCACCCCACCTGACCTCGGCCATGGCAGAAAACATCCTGGCAGCTGCCTGCGAGAGCGAGACAAGAAAGGCGGCCAAGAGGATGCGCCTGGAGATCTACCAGTCCTCACAGGTACCTGCTCCCCTGCCCGATGGGGCCACTCCTGGGCAGGGGGGCAGGTGCAAAGGGAGCAGGGATGAGTGTGGCCTGATGGAGCTGGACTGTGCAGCTAGGAGGGTGAGGACAGGGCCAGGGAGGCACTAAGAGATGTTGAGTCCATCAAAGGTCCCACAGACCTCCTAGGGAAGTCTGGCCCTCATCCTGGGACCAGAGGGTCTTTAGTTGAGCAGTACAGATCAAATAGGCCCACAGGGAGATGAGCAGGGGGTGAGGGGTTAGGGGCAAGGTTACCAGGGAAAGGACAGAATCCCCCAGGCCAAGCTGCAGCAATGGGTCCCAGGATATCTGGAGCCACACCCAGGGACAGAGGTTGGGGCTGGCTACCCCCAGTTTTCCAGCGCCACCTTGCCCCTCTGCAGGACGAGCCCATAGCCTTGGACAAGCAGCACTCGCGGGACTCCGCAGCCATCACCCACTCCACCTACTCACTGCCAGCCTCCTCCTACTCCCAGGACCCTGTGTACGTCAATGGCGGCCTCAACTACAGTTACCGCGGTTATGGGGCCTTGAGCAGCAACCTGCAGCCCCCTGCTTCCCTCCAGACAGGAAATCACAGTAACGGTGAGTCTGGGAGGCCCAGGCTCTGGCCCCCTGACTGGCACCCAGTGCAGTCTGTACACAGCCCCAGGGAGGGGCGGGCGGGGGGAAAGCAAGTCCAATAGCCCAAGGGACTCCCTTATGGCTCGGGGGGCCAGAGTAGAGGGGCGGCTCCTGGCACCCTTCCATTTCATTGTCTTAGCCAGCCCTTAGATCAGAAGGTAAGGAGGACTCAGCTGGTTAAACACAAAACCTCCTCACCACTGGAGGTGCTGCTACCGGGCTGCTTCCCGCCCTGCTGGGGCCTCGCCCTGGTTCCGCCCCCCTCCCAGCGCCTTGTGACCATGACTGAGTTGCAGCCCAGGCTCTGCTCTTGCTCTGAGTTGAATCCTCTCCACACCCCAGTCTCACCATGATGACTGAGGCTAAGGGAGATGCTTTTTGCCAGGCCCAGCCCTATTCTGCTGTGGCCCAGCGGGCCTGCTGAGCAGCTCTGGGCAGGTCACCTCTCTCTGCAGGCCTCAGCCCCTGCCCTCATGGTGCTCACATCCAGGTCACGTGGGGCAAAAGTTACACACCTGTTCCCTTGGCTGCACTCCCACAGCTGAGTGGTCCAGTAGGTGCCTTCCTGGTGACATCCCAGGCAGCTCTGCTGCAGATGGGACACACGCTGTTACTAGAGAAACAGTCCCCAAAGAGACAGAAACTTTTTCGTGGAGTTAAGTGCTGCCCGGAGCAGAAACTGGAGCGGGGACCGTAGGCCCTTTCACTCTGAGGCAGAGGCCAGCAGGGCAGGAGTGGGGCCGGCTGTGGCCTTCTCGGGCCAGGCACGTAGGTTTTGTTCTGTGCAGGGGAGGAGCTGCTGACAGGTTTTGAGCACAGAAGGGCTGTGACTTGTGCTGTCTGCATCGTTCTGTCTGCCCTTGTGGTGGGAAGGTCTGAATGGGGAGGGCCGGAGGCAGCAGTGGTGTGCTCTGGGGGTTGTTCAGAGGCCAGGGAGTTGGGGGGAGTTGAGGACACCAAGGTGCTGCCTGAGGAGTAGGTTAGAGAAAGGCATCACCTGCCAGCTGGGGAAGCTTAGTGCCAGGTCTTGGCTGGACATGCCTGAGAATTCCTCCAGCCCTTATCCTCGGCATAAGGGTGGGGGCTAGTCCCACCCCTAGGCTGTAGCTGTGGGGTGGGAAACGGGGCTGACCTCCTGAGGGAGCCCCCGCTCTTACACTCCACATCCTCTCTTCTCTGGCTGTTTGTTGCTGGACACCATAAGAATGCTCTTCCAACTCCAGGAGTTTAGAAGCCCTTTCCTAGTGGGCCGGACTGGGCAGACAGGCCTCCCGTGCCTAGGCCGCCCCCACCCTGAAGCCAGCCCCTGCCCCACACTCACCACACCCCCCACAGAACCAGTTAGTATGTGCAGGTCCCTGGAAGATTCCTGCCTGGGCTTAACTCCTCATCCCTTCCTAATGCCTCTTAACCTAAAATAAGAGGCTGCCTGGCCCTAATCCCTGAAGCTAAGGCCAGAGTGGCCAGCACAGTGAGAGGTGGAGTGGCCGTCCCACAGGGACTGCTTTCCTTCCAGGAAGAAGAGCCGCCAGCCCTGCCCCTACACGTGGACAGTCTGGCATCCAGCAGGAGAGGTAGGGGTGACCTCTAGTGCCTGATACCTCCCAGGCAGTAGACGATGGTGACAAGCCTCTCCCTGATGCCACCCAGTGTGTCCTGTCTCGGGAGGGGCTCTCTGGTGGGGTGCTGGGCCTGCTGCATGCCCCGTCCCGTGCACCCGGGGCCTCAGGTTCTCATCCATAGACACCCTGGTTCCTTGTGGGTGGTCACTGAGGCCGAGATCTGGTCATTTACTTCCTTGGCACCTCATTTGAAGAACATCGTTTGAATCTGGGTTTGAGCCCAGCAGTTGGAGGAAAATGACTGGCAGCCACGTGATTGTAGGGCTTCCCAGGCCCTCTGCCCTCCCCAGGTGTGGCCTTTTAAGTGATTGTTCAGTCAGTTTGGTACCTCGGTTAGGCAGCCGTATTAATGGCTCAGAGCTCCTCACTTTGCTCATTATGTTGTCATCTGGAGATGCAAATCAGCTTAGATGGAATCAGGCTCTGCCTGTCTTGCCTGGGTACTGGGCAACTCCTGCCCACGCCTGCCCCTCCACCAACCATCCAGCAAACACCCGGCAACCCAAGCGCCCAGCTGTAACCAGAGCTTGTGTGGGGATGTCTCCAGGTCAGGTTGGCTGTAGGAAACAGGGACCTTCTCCTTTCCAGGCTTTAGCTACATCCCAGGGGAGAAGAAGGCAGGCTCTGAGCACAGGCACGAACAGGGTAAGATTTGGGAATGGAAGGAGGAAAGAGGACACCCAGCACTACTGCTAGCTGCTGCTCACACTGACCGTGGCAGGAGGCTCCAGCCACCCCCCCAAGCATTGTCTGAAGGGGACTAGGGCCACCCCAGAGGGAACCAAATCCTCTCCTCCCATCCCTCTGGGTCCAGCCCCTGCAGTACCTGAGAGGTGTGCCTGGCCCAGTCGACCATTTGGCCACCAACTTGGGAGTCAGTCCCCTGCTTGGTTGCTGGTTCCAGTAATATACAGCTCCAACTCCTTCCCCTCCTGTGTTTAATTTTAACAGACTTAACAGTCCCTTTAACTCTCAATTCCAAGGACATTCTTTAGCAAACCAGTTTCTAGGACCTCCTCCTTGATGTCCATGTTCTTTGCTCAGAGAGGAAATAATTGCATGTGACAAACTGTCCCATCTTAGACTCCAACTTCCTTCCCCATTTGGAGGCTGCACTAGCTTCTTTTTAGCAGCAGTCAGGTTTCCACAATTTATCCCAAGATGTTACTTCTGGTCTAGATGTCTCCAGTGACAAGCATGCACTTGTCTATCTCTCTTTATAGCAGCATAAGAACTGCCACTGTAGATGTACTGAGCACACATGGTCATCAGAACCTACAGGGTAGTGAGGAGATGGCAGGTCCCCCAGAGCAGCCCTGCACCCCATGTGAGCTAAGCTCGGGCTGTAGCTGTGGGGTGGGAAACGGGGCTGACCTCCTAAGGGAGCCCCTGCTCTTACACTCCAGATCCTCTCTTCTCTGGCTGTTTGTTGCTGGACACCTCATAAGAATGCTCTTCCAACTCCAGGAGTTTAGAAGCCCTTTCCTAGTGTGCCGGACTGGGCAGACAGGCCTCCCGTGGCCTGAACAGCCTGCTCACTGGAGCCCCGGCTCCTGCTCACAAGAGCCATCTCAGTTCGCAGGTGAGGGCTCTGAGGCTCAGAGGGGTTGAAGAATTTGCCAGTGAAGTAGCAGAGTGGGATTTGAATCCACACTTGACTCCAAAGCCAGCAGCTCGCCCCACAGAGCTTCCTGGGAAAGGCCGAAAGGAACTAGGGCCTGATGCCCCTCCCCTACAACACACACACCCCTACTGTGTTCCAGAAGAGGGGTCCCCTCTTCTGCCACCATCTGAGGGCAAAAGGGCAGGCAATTTCACCAGACGGCCTATCTGGGGTCCTGTTTCTGCCTCACTAAGGTACAAAAGAAGTCCTCAAAGGAAGGGGCACTCCAGGTGCTGAGGCCCAGCAGAAAGAGCTTACCCCAGCCCCACCTCCACCTCTCTGGTGGGAGTGCGTCACGGCTTGGCCGGGGCATCCTTCCTCAGCCACGCGGGGAAACTGGCCTCTCTGGCTTCTCTCCAGCTGGACAGAAGCGCCTTCCTTCTGTGCACATGCAGGTGTTCCTGTCACTGGTCTTTCGTGGCTGCATTGTGGACACCTGCACACTATCTCCCCTCCCAGCCTCCCTGAGTGGGGGGAGGAAGACTTTCTTGCAGTGCTTGTCCCCACAGTTCCTTTACAGGACTGTTATTTCCCGTTCCCAAGCTCCTCTTACCACGCTGCAGAGGCAGAAGTTCCTTTGCCTCCAAGGCCTCTGCTTCCTTGCCTGGGGCCAGAGCCTGTGCTGTATGTGTCAGGGGTCCTCAGAAAGCACAGGGTACAAGCTGTGCCAGGAAGCCAAGGTAGGAGGCTGTCCTGCCTGATGCCAGGGCCTATGCACTTACCACGCGGCACCCTCCCCTGACAGACCCGCCATGCGCGCCTTTACCGTGTGACCATGAGCAAGCCTCTCAGCAGCAGCTTGCACCTGTCACATGGTGCCGAGGAGACCCCCTTCTTTGCAGGATCACCCTGAGACTTAACCCTGTCGCAGGTAGGCCCCATTCTAGGCACTAGGTAGACAGCCCAGGGCCACAGACTCCAGCCTGACTGACAGCAGGCACCAAGACTCAGGGTGATGACCACATAAAGGACACCTTGCCTCCCAGATGCTGGGCAGGGTGTCTGCTCCTTCCCTTACCGTGTCCGTCTCTACAGGGCCCACGGACCTCAGCATGAAAGGCGGGGCCTCGACCACCTCCACCACCCCCACGCCCACCCCCTCCAGCAACAGCACCAGCAGGACCATGCCCAGCGCCCAGCTCAGCCCCACGGAGATTAGCGCCGTGCGGCAGCTCATCGCCGGCTACCGGGAGTCTGCGGCCTTCCTGCTGCGCTCGGCAGATGAACTGGAAAACCTCATCTTACAGCAGAACTGACCCCGCTGGCACCTGGAGTGCACTGCTCTAGGGAAGGAGGCTGTCCCAGCCCGGACCTGGCTTCCTGCCTCACCAGTTGGTACATTTTGTTTTTTGAAAGAGGTGGGATCCAAAAGAGCTGTTTCTAGCCACACTCCAAGCACCTGAGACTTTGGGCACAAGAACACTTTTTTTTTGGAATCTCACCACACGGGTGCTCTGACCTGCTTGGAAGAGGCCAATGGGGGCAGCTCTGGAAGAGTGGGGCTCCCCTGACAAGGCGCCAGGGCTGCAGCTCTATTTAGAATCACCTTCGTGGACCCTGATGTTAGAATCCCACTCCCAGATAATTACCTTTCAAGTCTTAGGTGAGCATAATTGCATATTTATTGAGAAAAACAAAGTGGACCCTTTCTTCCTCTCCCCTTAGTAATTTATTTTTCTGAAAATGGATTCTTTTGTGTTTGTACAGATTGCCAGTCTGTGTCTGTCTGATCAGAAGGATGTATCCCTGTACCTAACATTCCATATCACTACACTGACGCGGGCTGGGGCCGGCAGGGGCAGGGCAGATGCCAGGCTGGCTGTCCCTCTGGGTGCCCAGCACACCCTGGGGAAGGCCACCACCCCTCGGCCAGGCCGTCCTGGAGCAGATCCCAGTGCCGTCACAGGGATACTGCCAGGCCTCCCCAGGCACCACCAAGCAGGAGGACCTCACCCACACCACTGCAAAACAAAAAAATCACCCCTACCCCACTCTACAGAAGCCCCAGTCACATGGTCACCTGTATTCTACCTCACACTCCAGCGTGGGCTTTTTCCAGGATATGCCCTGAGCCTGTTCTGAATGGCTGTTACCCCAGCCCCCCCCTCACAGTGTCTGCCTGGGAGGTAAGTCCAGACTGGGTGTCCAGGAGCTAGAGCCCAGAGAGGGTCCTGCCCCTTATAACCAGCCACTGCAGGCCCCTAGCCCTCCCAGCTGTTTACTGGGACAGAGCACGAGATGGCAGCTATGCTGCCAGGGAGCTTGAATACTTCTCTGCACAGGCCTGGGCCCTCAGACACCTGCTGAGAAGGGCAGGTTTCTTCAGGGCGCGCCCCCCCAGCTGTCAGGCAGCTGTGAGCTCCAGGGCAGACTGCAGTTCCCACCCCCTCGCCCGTGTTTGGAGTAAAGGGATCATCAGTGGAAGTGGAGAAGCCACTTGGGTTCTCCTAAGACCAGCCCTTCTTCTGGAGGGGCCAGTCTTGGAAGAAACCCATAATCCCTGGAGTGTGAAAAAGGGCAAAAGGAAAAAGCTGGCCTGGTTTCCTTCCTCCCTGATAGGCACTTCCTCTTGCTCAGTGCAATACCTGCCAGTGCTGCTAAAACCAGGGATTCGCCCAGACCTCAGCAGGCCCACGGGGCCTCTCCATGCGACACTCCGTAGCCATGACAGCAGCTATCTGCTGCTCGTCCCTGCCCAGAGCTGGCAGAAGCCCTCTGTTGCCTTTCCTCCCTCAGAGCAAAGAGGCCCCAGGGGAGCCAGGGCCGAGTGGCCCCTAGGATGGCCGCAGAGAGCCACTTGACCCTGGAGCAGGCACCCCTTCCCAAACCAGCTTTTCTGCAGCCAACTTCCTCCTGGCACTGTGGCAGACCCCCTCAGGAGGAGTGGGAAGAGGGCACAAGTACGGATGCCCCATCCTGCCTCAGATCCAGAAACTCTGAAAGGTAGGGTGCCCACTCCGTGCTTACTTTCAGCCCCTAGAGGTTGGGGGTGGTCTTATCTCGAGTGGCCTCCAACACCTCACCCAGCCACACCACCTCTGCCTTCCACCTGACCAATCCGCAGGCCTCCGGGCAGGGCCAGGACACCGAAACTCACCCTTAGCACAGCACAAGCTCCAGTGCCCAAGGCCTCCCCCACACCCGGCATCCACACGTCCAGTCCCACCTGCTCAGTACTACTCCCGGATGTTTGAATTTGTGTAAATATTTATTTTTGTGTGTGAACAATACAACAAAGTAATTGGTAGATCTTTTGCAAAATGTTACCCCAGGCAATTTGTGAAAATGTTAAACCCTGGCAGAGACAATCGCCACCCTAGAATTCCTGATATCATTTGCTTAATATGTCACTCACTTCTCTCAGAGGCGGTGCCCAAGCTGGACAGGAACGGTTTGCATTTCTTGACAGACAGAAGTGAGAAAGGCCAGGGAAGGGGCTCCCTCCCAACACCAACACAAGGGAATTAGATCTAAAGATCATACACGCTACCGTCTGAAGTTGAGTTTTTCTAAGTTCAAACTGTGGTGACTCCACCTCCAGCCTGCCTTAGTACTGCGGCAAGAGCGTGGGTTCAATATATTTTAAAGAGAAATTAGAGGACATGCCAGTGGTAGAAGTCCACTGGGACTTCAGGGGACCCCTCCAGGATGGTGGATTTTGTCATATTGACCCCAGCTCTTGGGTGGGCTCCTTTGAAGTGAAGCTACACCTGAAGCCCTGGAGATGGGTAGAATGGGCAAGTTAGTGCATGAAAACAGGATTCCACTAGCTGGTTCAGTCAGGGATCTTGTTCTGTTTTGCTTCTGTTTTAAAAGATGCAGCTTCAACCCCTTCCCTCTTCTCCTGACTTGGAGAGCACCAAAAAGCTGGTTCTCACGAACCAAGCTCGCTGCTGTCTCACCCTCACCCAAGGGACGCCTTCTCCCAAAGCCCTGTGCCACAGCCATTTAAAAATCTTCTGGAGGTCCTCAGGGCACAAAAGTAATCATTTGGGATCCTAAGTTAAAAAGGAAATGCAAAGTAGTAATTCCGGAGTCTTTGCAGGGGGCTAATCCCACAAAAAGGGTAGAATCAGTGAAGTGGGCCTTTGGTCTTAGTGGTGGATCCTTGAGTAGACCAGTGAGAAGTGTGTGTAACCTGCTGGAAGTTCATTTTACCATCACCACTATTACAAGGGACAGTTTACTCCCAAGGACAGTGTTGAGGGGGGAGGGTGACAGGTGGGGGAACTAGGAGGGTTTTAGAGGATTTCAAACAACCCATCCGTCCCTATCCCCAAGGGCCACTTACAACTCCAGGGGTGGTTATAGGATTAACTACCAGTTCATTTTCAAAATGCTGCTTTGAACTCAGAGGGTTGATACTTTTAATTTGTAATTTTTTTGTAAAACTTTTTACAGGATAGTAAAGTATTTCACCAGAATACCAGTTTCAATCCGTCCATGGTCTGATTTTTATATAATTTAGTGGTGCTTTAGAAACTTTGTTTTTGTTGTTTCGAGCTAAATAGCTCAATCCTTTCTCGCCTGTATCTACCTAAGACCAATGTGAACCTTTGTATTTTTGCTCCTAATTTTGGACTCAGTGAAAGTGTACTGTTTACATGTACAGATGCCCTCAGTCCCTGTGTGTTCTGCAAGACTCGCTCTTGAGGAGGAAGATGCACCTCACTAAGCTCATCTGCTTAGCAAAGCCACAAAACAAAAACCTCTCACTTTTTACCTGTTTCCACCTAAAAATAAAAACAAAAAACCTACACCACATAGAACTCAGATTTTGCTGAAAAACACTTTCCACCTGGTAGATGGTCCATGTGCTTCTGTCATGTGGTCCATTTAGGAACAAGAGTCAGAACACAGACCTCCCGCCAGCCCCTGGTGCGCCACCGCGCGGACAGAGAAGTGAAGGCAGGACCGCGCTGCAGAGCTGTGGGATGAAGACAGTTCTCTGGGCAGCTTGGGAGTGAGATGGTCAAGATGACTCATGTGGCCTTTAGGATCAAGCCAACCAGGACTTAGGGACAACCCAAGAGGTCATCAATCCTCTAGCATAATTTAGACATGTTTTGGAAGAGCGTGAGTTCTCTGAGATGAGATTTTAAGACTTTCAGTGCAGATGGTACAAGTATTTCTTGAGGGTTCCTCTGGGGGCAGCTCATTCATGAGGTGCCACCTCTAGGGAGGGACAGGGGCTCCAGACAGCGAGTAGATGGCACTTAAAGCAAACAGTGGATGGCACCAACTTTTAAAGGTGACTCTTTATTAATCAATGGCTTCACCTCTAAATTATATTTTTACAGATATGCACCTATGCAACTTAACGTGGCTCTTCTAAGCAGGTGAGGACTTCCTCCTCAATGCTCTCTATAAAAATTATTTGTGTTCTATATAGTGAGTTTTTCCAGTAAATGTGGCTTAATATTTTAATTCTTAGAATGTGTCTTCTCTACGTGATGCGACTAAATTCTGTTTTGTTTGTGGAATGACTAGCACAGGCCGACTCCCTCTCTCCCTCACTTAACAAGACCAATGAGCTGTTAATCGAGCTGTTATCTCCATGGTATTACTTGCTAAATGCACTGATTTCATAAGTATGTGGAATCCTTTTCCTTTTGAACCTGTATATCATATATAAGACTGAATCTACTTAATAAACACTGAACAGCAAACCGAACACTGCTTCCACTGTCTCCTGTCAACAGCAGCACCGCCAGCCAGTTCCCATCCTTCTGAATCTAGTTTGCTACTGAAGCATCTTGCTACTGGTAGATTCTACCTTTTCCTAGCCAATAATCTGGGACACACAAGGTCCTCAGTAAATTTTCCTGAATAAAACTGTAATTTTAGCACCTCGTGTGTTAGGAAACAGCCTTTCCTTGCTGCTAGTCAGGTACTGAGCAGAGGCAGAGAACTCTCTGTGCACCATCCTAAGTCTCAGTCTCCTTACCCCACTTGCAGAAGTACAGATGCATAGTGGGTATATGAAACAAAAAACTTGAATATCTTCTCCTACCTCTCACCCTAGCAGGTGGCTGACTTAGACTGAATTCCTACAATTCCTAAATGCTACTGTGTTTTCCCTGAAAATAAGACCTACACATAAAATAAGCCCTAGCAGGATTTCTAAGCATTTGCACAATATAAGCCCTACCCCGAAAATAAGACTTAGTGATGGGCGTGGCTATGCAACGTATCTGCACAACCCATGCATTTCATCGCAGATTGGTAAAAAAGACGAACAGCCCTTCTCATCTGCCCCATGAAAGCTCTATTGCTTGACAGGAGAGATTGGGGCCAAAGGAAATAGAGTCGCAAGAAATTCAGGATGGAATTTAGGGTTTGGAGAGTTATGATGATGTTCCAAAAGACGATGACTTAACTATATTTGAATAAATGCAGATTGTTGTATGGTACAGTACTTAAAAAAATAACACATCCCCTGAAAATAAGCCCTAGGGTGTCTTCTTGAGGAAAAATAAATATAAGACCCTGTCTTATGAAACACAGTACTTAGAAAACCAAGCCAACAAGATCCCTAGTTCTGAACCTTTGGTACTTGACATTCCATTCTATGCAAAACCCTGGACCCCACCCTGGGAGGAAACAAAAGGGCTACTTTTCCCAAAAGACTTTTACGTGCATATTGTTTTCATCCTACATATATTTATTATTTAGGTTAAACTTTAAGGAAAAACTGCAGGAATATGTCTGGGAACAAACTTGATTTTCATGAGTTTAAAAACAACTTTGTGATTTAAAAGCATATATATTACTGTTAAAATTGCAAATGTGTATATACACATACACCTACATGGCGGTTGTTATTAAAACCTTGGCTTTTTAGTAATAGTTAAGAATCCTTTTTTAAAAAATAGAAATTCTATGCAATAGCCAAATATGTAAAACAGAGCAGAGGAGAGGGGCTAGTTTGAAACCTCTGCACTGAGAGTGTGACTTTGGGGCTAAGACGCATGTAAAGACAGCAGGTCCGGGCACAGCACTAGATGTGACACTTCACCTATCCAGGATATGAGGATCAAGGGGCAACAAATCCTCAGTAATACCATAAAAGTTCCTTGTCCTACCAAAACTACCACTGCTGAGACTATTAAAACCATTAAGACGACTGAAACCCCATAATCTGGGACATCTCCAGAACACAGACCCACTTCACACTGACCTGCTGACCAGCCCAAAAAACTTACCTCCCTCCACAGGAAATGCTGCAGTTCCACAGGACACTGGAATCCGTAGGAGAAACCACTTGAGGGCAGGACAGTGCAGGCTTTTCCCATCTGGCTTCTTTAAACGGGGCTCCAAGCCACTGGTATTAACAGTGGACACTGTTTCCATCATCAGATGGAAATGTCCCCTTAGAACAGTGAACTAAAATTTACTCAATGACAAAACAGGCAAACCTCCCTTGACTCAATGAGGGAAAGGGGAGAATATACATATGCTGCCTTTTAAAAAATAACTTAAAATGCACTAAGGAAATTTTAGTAGTTACACAAAACCTGCTAAGAAGAATCTGTGCAGTGTCCTATCTTCCTCTGGTTGATGTTTTCTATTATATAAACCCAGATTTTATTAGGTTTGTTATCAGCCAGTGGTTCTTAAATGAGAGGCCCCAGCTGCCTAAGAAACTCATAAACCCTCTGAAATAGTATGCAAAACTTTGTATGTGCATGGCTGGGGGGTGTGTGTCTGTGCAGTGTCCACTGAAAGGTGAAAACCCACCGACGCCAGGTAAAGCAGCACGAACAACTGTGTTGTTCTCACAGGGCATCTGTCTATGTCTCACAGTAGAGATGTTTGTTCCAGGCTTTCAAATTGATGCAGAGACAAGAGGAAGCATGGGATACTATCCAGTTTTGGTTTCAAGTAGCAAACTCCAAGGCCACACATCTTACCCTGTCCACGGCTTCAAATGGCACCCACACACACAGGCAAAGGCAGACAGCCCCCTTCCTCTCAGAGCAGCAGGATGCAGCAGCTTTGGTCTGTTGAGAGCTCTGATGGATGCAGGCTGCTCTATTTAACTCACACACATACCCACAAACCCCTCTCAAGCAGGGTCTTACTTCCTCAAGAGCAGGCTGTCAAACAAATTAATGATACCTCGCCAGACCAGTATGATAATATTCTTTCCCTATTCCCAAACATCGTGTTTCCTTGTCCTTTGGACCATGAGCAACATAAGCCTCCCTTACCAAATACTCTAAGCTCTGGACTGCACTCAGTGACTGCAGTGAGAACAGGAACTAGGCACTGGCTTCACAGCCCACACCAGCGCCAGCACAGCACACACAAGACCACATCTTGACAGCTTCCCCCAGGCAAGGGTAAAGCAATGGCATTGGCTGTACAGCTGTCTACATCAAGTTCATGTAGCAATTATCATTTTACCCTGGTAAAGCTAACAGTCACTAACAATCTAAGTAGGAACTATTATCCCCATTCACAGGCAGAGAGGTGACATAACATGGCCCAGCCACCCAAAGCTGGCAGGTAGCAGAACCTATCCTCCAAGAACCCACTACACTATTCCACTTCCCTGTTGAGATGTCACTGGCAATGCAAGGCCCCAAACCTGCATTCTCACTCCCACGGTCCTAAGTGGCCTAATGGATTCTCTGATGAAGGCATAAAGACACATCACCACCACCAGGCAACTGCCCAGGTACCACAGGGCTCCTGAACCATACATCCTCAAACGACGCATCTGTCCAACAGCAGCACTGCAAAACAGCAGCTTCAAGTGCCCGAAATGTGTCTCACCACATACAAGTTTTTCTCTGATTCACGTAAAAAAATTAATGGATATATATTTGATCTTCTATCATTTTTACTTTTGGCTTAGTTATATGCCAATAAAATTATTTCTGGCGAGCAGAGTCATGTATTTCAGTACTTGAGAGAAGTCTTAGGACTTTAACTAAGCAAGCGATCCCTGCCAGCATGTCATCGACCCAGGCTCATTAAATGAGCATCAGACCCCACCTGAGGCCACAAGAAGAGGTGCTCATGGTTAAGGCTTTTCAAGGTCAGCACTGGGCACCCTCCCACAGAAGACCATCAACCCATTTGGCAACCCCAAGCTCAGTGAGGCCATTTGGATGAGCAGCTGCAGAGGGATGCCACAGCTTATGACTTTCACTCACAAAGGGAAACTCCCATTGCTTTAGTAGATATCTTATTGCAGTCTGCAAAGTGGAAAGGTTTGCCAAGTCATGAACAGAGGCTACAGACCAGTGAAGCTGCCAAGTCATTCCTTTTGGACTAACCTCCCAAAGAAGAACTCGGTGTAGAACAGCAGCTCCAGAGCAGAGGCGAGGTGAGATGAGCTGGCGCTACTCCTTCCCATCCAGCTCCGCACTCCAGCAGACCTTCCCACGCCAGCGGGGCAGCCACAGAAGATGACTGAGACCACAACTGCAGGGTGTACAGGTTTATTGTTCCAATACCTCAAGAGACATACAAAAGCAGTGCTTTCTCTGGGGCAGCCTCATGGACCAGACCAGTGTCAAACTGTACCTTTGAGTGGCCCCAAAGGTCCCACCAGAGGGAAGTAGAGGACCAGACACTCATGGGCCTCTGCTCCCAGGCTTTGGTAAACAGACTTACGTTGGCAACTTAAACTTGGCCAATACTGCACTTTAAGTCACCAAATCATTGTCAACTTCTCATTCATTCTTCAGGTGACAAAAATGCCACATCAGATTAAATGGGGGGAAAACACTTGTCTGATGAAATGAGATTTGCTGAAGTCATAAAAATTTTATATTTCATATAGGAGCATTCACACAGGGAAACCGAGATCAAATGAGGACTCTCAACTCTGTAATAAGTTGAGATATGGGAGGTGAGGCAGGAAATAGGGTGAGGGATGACAAATACAGGGATATCTACTTGCTGGAAACTTATTGGGAGAGAGGCAGGCAGCAAGCATGGCTTTGTTTCTTCTTAAACCTGCCTCCTGCCAAAAGTACGTGAAAAGGAGCCCCACGGCCCCAGGAGAGCATGGTTCCAGGTATTGCTGTGACAGGTGGTGACCCTGGAGCGGAATCTGGAAGGCCTGCCTGGGGGATGCCCAGGGAACTCACCCATGAATCCAGAAGCACTTAACACTGGTGGTGGTGACTTGTCACATATGGGAGCGAGCCGCCACTAAAGGCTGGAGAAGGAGAAGAGATGTGAGGAGCAAGATGCATTTGCTCAGTAGCGTGTGGACGGGCTGACTGTGGCCCTGCAGGCTGTGGCAGACCCACCCGGTGACCCGTGATGGGGTGCCACGCCAGCCTGGCAGGTCACAAGTCAATCACTTCACCCTCACGTCAAGCAGCACAGCACTCAGTGGCTCTGACAATAGGCATGGAGAAGTAAATTACACCACTTTAATGCGATGATGCTGAAGACGTAAAATAAGGAGACAGTCATGTTCTCTGTACAGTAACATCCATTTACAGAATCGGCCTGTACTGTGTACAACATATAAATACATGATAAAACATTAGAGGTGCATAGAGCATACTTACAGAAGCCAAAAAGTTCACTTTATACATCCAAGAATAAAGGGTTAAAAATATAAAAATAAGAAACACACATTGCTTTGAAATGTAAAATGACTTTCACATACACAGGTACGTGGAGATGCCCACTCCCACAGAGTCC